TCGCGACCGTTATTACCACTGTAGCCAACTATTGAAAAACGGCGGAAGCAAAGTTGTACACCTTGTAGATTTACAGTGGGTAAACTACAAGTGATCAAACACGTACAATGTTGATAATGAACCAAACACTAATAGTATTAGTCAGAATATTAAATTTTTGAAGTAAACAAAAACCTAATACACGAGAGAAAAAATGTATTTTGTTTTCGTTTAACTTTATTAAATTTAGTTTCTTATAAATTTCTACAGATGTTACTACTTTCACACTTTTTACAAAAAGTGTCTAAACGTAGTCAATAGACATTAGTACGGCAGACAAACACATGATGTACTCTTATCAGTATTGTATGTACATCTTTTCTCAACTTCCACAACACCATGAATTCATATCTTAGATGTCGAATTTTGTATGCAAATTCAATACATTTCCAATGAGCTCAAAGGGAACAAATTAGAAATTCTATTAGGAAGAAGGAGAAAATGAAGGCTAGAAATTATGAAAATACTTCAATAATAGAATAAGCTCATATTTTGGTTCTATATATTCTTTTGATCAGTGGAACCAATGGATTTGTTAGAGTAGGTATGCCCATACACTCGCAGCGATACTCCAAACAAGTGATAAATGTATACATACATTACATTCACCACTGTAAGGATTGAAATTTCGTAATCCTTAGAATTCATATCTCAATACTAGACAGGTAAACCACTGTAATAACTATTATCGAAAAGTCGTTCATATCTCTAGTCTTCAAGGGAATAATAAATCAATCAAGGAATATTGTTTTTCACTTTATTTCAGACATCTGTTTTAACAAAATAACATTTTGAACTCTTCTTTAAATGCCATTAAAAACAACAGTAATGTAAATTTATGAAAATATAAAACTACATTTCAGTAAATAAATATATATCACTTTAACTCCATAAACAAGGTTTAATAAAATATATCAAAATATTAATAATTACTAAAAAGTATGAATATTTTGTCTGAAGGGCAACTGTTTCTACTTTTTGCAATTTATCATTTCACTAGAAAATTCATCACAAAAATAGGTTATTTTACATGAATGAAAAAATTAGGTACTTTTATTGCATTCAGTCCCTTTTCCACAAAAAACTGTAAAGAGGCACTATGTGCAATACACACAATGGTGAGTATTTTTTATGTTGGCGACATTCATGTGAAGATGAAGCAATTTAAAATAACTGCTTTCTTTGACACACACACACACAAAACACACAATATACACGGTATATATACAAATGAGATGTAGTTCTTCAATCAGTCTTCTTATTATTCCAGATAATCTTTTCAGATAATTCAACAATAGATAATCTGAATAGATATAAAACTAAGAAAACATTTTTCGGTAATCTGGTTCAGATACTAACAGACTAGGAATGAAACACAGGAACTCTGCAAAAAGAAACATTTTTCAGAAGTCTTGAAGACACAAAAACTTCTTTTCAGATCTTTTGTAGGAGAATCATAACTGCCAAATGGAAAATTGTTCATTCTACCACCACCAACACTAGTTCCCAGACACAGTTTTCACTGGCAAACTGTGGATCACTCCATTAGTTGTCTTTTGAACTACACCAAAAACATGATTGCTGTACCTTACAGTTGATGAAACTGCTCCAATCATTCGATTCACTAAACCTGCTCGAGGTAATGGCTTTTCAATTTTTGGTGTTGGTTTAGGAACTGTAACAAATTAGAAAGATAAGTATGTTATTTCAAACATATAATGAACAAATTATCTAATATTTATCAGTCCTGTAAACAAGGACTTTTTTAAAATGCTGACACAAATTAATTTCTTGCCATCAATTTTCAAATTCACACACTCAAAGAGAATACTGAAAATATGCCAATAAGAAAATAAATAAGGAGTTGTTTTTTTTTTCCACTGGAGTCAATACATTCCTTACATGTGAAAGATAGGAAAATTAAAGAAAAATGTTGTGTCAGCATATGCATAAAACAAGAAAGCTGAAGATATAAAAGGCTAAAGAAAAAGATACTAGTTTTTAAATTATTTTTTGTGAAAAAAGAGAAAAAACTATGTGACATATGGGGGAGAAGTAAAATCTCTTTCAAGTTTTCTTGAGCCCTAGAATCTTAAACCTCTAACTAGTTAAATGTTTAATAAAAGGAGGAGCAAAGTGGGGATGCAGAAAATTTTTCTCGACTAGCAAATAAACTACACACTTGATTTATAGTATTGCTAATAATATAGCATTCCCTACTCCCTGTCTCTATGCCGACCAGAACTAGGAAAAGGAGAGTTCAACAATGCGAGCAGAGTGTCCAGAAGTTAAACAAGGGGCCATCTCATTATTTGCTCAATGGATTAAGGAAGAAAGAAAAACCTGATTGAGACAACCAAAAACTACTGACGAAGAAGCTGAAGTGAATAAGAAACTGCACAAAGAGATGAATCTTTGAAAAGAAAACAGAACTATACAATTCACAAATGGAAATGGATAACTTTTACAAGACTATCCCCAAACAACAGGAACCAAACTACATGAAACACTTTATAATTATAAATAAGAAAGTACATTTTCATATTACATAAATAATAATAAGAAGACTAATAATAATAATAATAATAATAATAATAATAATAATAATAATAATAATAATAGCTACATATTTATTATTATTATTATTATTATTATTATTATTATTATTATTATTATTATTATTATTATTCAAGCTACTCACATGTATACCAACAACTTTAATTTTGACACAAAAACATTAAATCTTCATTCTAACCTTCATCAGCTTAAGTATGACTATTTAAAGAAAATTTATTCACAGTGCACTATATATAGTTTACAAGACTGACACTATGAGACTAGATTTTTAATTTTAATTTAAGAAAAAGGAGAGAGAAATTTTTTACAAACCCGTAAGAAATGAAAGAAGATGAGCATTGATAGTTTCTGGCATTTCTTGATGAGGATAATGTCCAGCCCCATCAACTATTTTAACAGTATACTTCAAGGAGTATTCTGTTGATTTCACTACACTTTCTAATTGAGCAAATGTGTCCTTGTTTCCAGTAATGAGTAAGCAAGGCACTTCAGTGGGTCCTGAACAATCATTTATGCGGGTAAACGGCAAGTTCCTATAGTAATTTATTGGTCCACACCAATCCTCTGCAAAAGTGAACAGCACAATTAACATTGTATAAGAACCATCCAGTTATGTTTGTTGAATATTGACATTGCTTTTATACTTGCCTGGTCTCGCAAATACATATTTATATGCATCTATCAGAGAAACATCTTTCTTCTTTTCTAAATGCTGGTAACATTTGTTCAGAATTTTTAAATCATCCTTTAATACTTCTATCTCGGCAAGGTATGGCATCTGACAGAAGTTTATCCATCTAGTAAAAAAATTATACTTATTTTAATATTTCTTTAACCTGTACCCAAATTATTAACAAAATAATTCCTAAATAAATACCTTTCATTAAATATATTGGTCTTTGGAAGTTCATTCCAATAAATATTAGGGTGAGGGCATGAAATAGAAACAAATTTTTCCACCAATTCTGGAAACTGATGGACAAAATACCATCCCAGAAGAGCACCCAAATCATGACCAACCAGAACACAGGTAGAATAGCCTAAAGCATGTATGACTGCAGATAATTCTTGTAATAAAACTTCAATGCGGTAACTTCTTCGCCATGAAGGTTTGTCTGAATCACCAAATCCTTTTAAATCTAATGCTATTACTCTGAAAATGAAGAAACTTCTTTATTCCATTCTCAACTGGTAATTACAGACTTGCTTCAAACAAACAGTAAGAATATGTATATTACCTGAAGAATTAGAAACAGTTAGAATAAGTATATTACCTGAAGTGGTCAGATAAGACTGGCATCTGATACCTCCAACCAAACCAACAATCTGGGAAACCATGAAGAAGTAATAGAAGTGGTTTTCCTTGTGCACCACATTCTACATAATGCAGTTTCACTCTCTGAAAAAAAAAAAAAAAAAAATACGCCATGAAATGAACTTACTGCGGCAGAAGGTCAAACAAAAGGCACTACGGCAAGTTCAAATACAACGATAAATACCTTCAATTTTATATATGAATGGAATCCTGCAGTATCAACGTAACAAGTTGGTGGCGTATTCCTAGATTTTTTCAATGATTGATCACTGGCTTTCCATAACGATGAAAGTAACTTTTTTACCATTACCCAGGTGCCGAGAAAAAATGAAAAGAAATGCATTTTAAATGCTTCCCAAGATGAAATAGTAACCACACACGCATCGTAACAGTCAGATGACATTCTGTAAAACTTGAAGACCCCGAACACCTGTCTAACCTAATGTATTTAGAAACTCGGGATCGCCACGCACGACGAAACTGCATGAACTGAATCAAATGAAGAAGTGATGAAAGCATGGTTTGTGATGAAAGCTTTGGCGGGGCAAAAGTCAAATAATCATCACTTCGTCAAAACACATTAAAGGAACCACCTGTTAACCAAACACTTCGCAAACGCTTTCTAACTTTTCTATCTTCTCTGCTAAACGCTTTGACGTGACGTCATGTATGACACGCCGCGGAAAATTGTTTCAACGCAGTGTGATTCCCCAATAAGAATTTTCCTAACACATCCGATATTTTGCTGTTCAGTGGCATATTTGCAGGTGAACTTTTCTAGACTCAAAAACAGAAATAGTAATTCAAACAAGAAGAGATAAAAGAGTAAATAAAAATAAAACGATTTTTCACCATCTTTTTAAATTACAAGAATATCTAACATAAGCACAACGAAAGTAAGTGGTAGATCAAGGCCGCCTGCGTTCGTTCTTCAGTTCATTGAAGGGATGCGACATCGATGAACCAGTCGCAGCTTTTAAAATATCGATGTTCTTATAGAGACATTAATGTTTTAAACATCAATATATTAAAAACAGATTCTATGTTGAATCTGGTTGATCCCGGGTTTAAGGTGGCACGGTTCCTTTAGTTCCTTGCTGATTCATTATTTCTCGAGATTCCCAAGATTTTAGTGGCGTGATTCACTTGAATCTGGTTGAATGCTCGAGAATAATTGTGCTGGCATTGATTAATTTTCTTAGGCCAAAGCATAAATATATACAATATGACTACGAGTCAAAGCCATATAAAGCTATACGAGTACATTTTGCTACTACGAAACATTTCTTCATCACGACACATTTACAATATCAATTCACATGTAAAATACACTTTACAACACTTAAGAGAAAAGTCAAAATGTGGGTTTGCATGCTGATTGAACTGAAATATAAATAGACAAAAATTGGTAATTAAACTGACTTCTATTAACATACTTCGTTGTTACTATAACGACTAAATAATTTATTATAAAATCTAATGAGATATTACGTATAAGTTTCTGAAGAATTTTTTTGGCGTGGATTTGCATGTTTTTTCGCACTTCAAGTCTTCTTCTAATAGGTTTGTGTGCCTTCTGAGATGGAAGGTATAAATGACTCTCATAATGAATGACAGATACAGGTTATTCGAAAAACAAATTGTCTTCAAGAAAATTGAGTTCAAATTGAATGTCATGTCGCAACATACACCGGCGTTGCGCGGCGAACGAGTCGTGATCTCAACATTATAACTAGAGCTCACTGCTCGTGTACACTAGAGCTCACTGGCCGCAGCGCACGGCGCCTCCCACTTCCACTTCTACGCCTTCCACCTGTGTCGCATCTGCGGAGTCAGCTGGTCTTGTCATCGCCTTGAGAGAGTGAATTATTTACGAATTTCTTTCACATCAAAGGAAAGAGTTAGATAAATTAAATCCTTAACCAGAATGTCATGATTATATGATTGCAATCATGCAAGAATGATTGTTTTGCATATCAAAATAATTACACTTGAAGTTTTCGGGTCTCTGATTTTTTTTTAATTCTTACTTGAGAACAACATAATGACAGTAATCTAAGTATCTATTTTTAAAATTCTTTTACTGCTGAAATATACTAACTTAAATTCTTATTGCTTTCTTTGTCAACAAATGATCAATATCAGTAGCTCTTGCACTGCTGTCATCTCGTGTCAGTATTTAGAAAATTCTTCCTTGAACTGTTGGCTGTTAATTGAAACTTGTGTTTTTCTTTCAAATAGAATTGAACATGATAATTCTAGTTGTATTGGTGTCAAAAGTAAAAGTAAGCATTTAAACGGTTCAAATAATGAAGACAAAAACTACTAACAAAATGAAAAAAATAATAATTCTTCCATTCGGCACTCTTTCTTTCAAAGTATTTAACACTGATCAAACGTTTTGAACCAAAGAAAGAGGAGCTAGGTAGTAGAAGTCGAGGACGAAAGAAGAAATGGATAGAATGATGAGGATGAGCTGAAACAGGAGAACAAGATGAAGAAGATTTAGACTAAAGAGAAGACAAAGGCGATGAAGAAAAGCATATAAAGGAAAAAGATCAAGAGATCGAGACTTGAACGAGAATGTTTGCTCGGAGTGTTTGCAGGCTGAGCATGTAAGTGAGCCGCGGCGTGTGCAGCACCGACAGACGCCGGCAGTTGGGAACAGCGGACGCATGGCATTCAGAGCTACTGGGTGAGTGCGATGGGAGCTATTTAAACGTCACGGCCCGCACAGCGAGGCGGGGCATGTTCAGAAGCGAAATGAATTGTTGGATGCCAACTTCCAAACGCTTTATCAAACGCCTAATGTCAGGTCAGGAAATAGCAATCTAGTATCTATTTAGCAACCAGCACTAGGCCCGAAAACAGTATATTTTGCCGATGCCAACGTTCTCCTTGATAATGCTGAATTCTAGGGGGTTCTCCCCTTCATAGCATAGATATTCATTTCCAAGACTGATGTCACTGCAGTGCCTCTGTCCGGGAGATCCTAGGGTCCGAGTTCGTCGGTGACAGCATTTTCGATATTACCCACATACTTAGGTCGAATCAGCCGTTGTCTGGCGATTTCTAGCGACTAGCTACTCTGATAGGTAATTTTAAGTGGGTTCTCCCAGCAACACCAGGCGAAGGCAGGGACAGTACCCTAAAAACGGGCCAAGGACCGCACGCTATACTTCCTTCTTCTTACTTGTACTGTCTTCACTCCTTCTTTACACACTTACACTTTCGTGAACTAGCACACACGCCGGGAGACCAGTCTGGAACTTAAAGCTTGTCTCGGTTGGGGCGGAGGCCCGCTGATGGGAGATATTTGGTCGGGGAAAATGCGAAATTACATGGGTGGATCGGCGCCAGATCTCGCTATCCAGCAGGGAAAGATCACCACCGCCACCTCCTCCGGCGATAAAACATGCAATACACTTACTAAACTAATTACCTTAGCAGTTGAGGCGCCCGGACACTCTAATCAATCAATCAATCAATCAACATGCAATTATGGACATATTGCCCCTGATTGGTAGGCAACCCATCCTGCAGTGATGTTTGACGGGTTAAAGAAATCTCTGTGCGTTAGAAAGTGTATGAGAGCGGAACTAGCAAGTGTCTATGGAGCGAGTAATATGATTTGGTTGCCTTCAACTGTGCTTTTCTTCCTGCAGTAAAAATGTATGTGAAATGATTTCTTCCGTTCGAAATTACATGTATCAACACCAGACAATCCAACTTAGCAATTGTTGTTTTATGATTCTTTCAACATTAGTTAAAGATGTGTAATCCATTTTCCCACCATACAGACCGGTACAATTGTTTATGCGGTTCCACAAAGTTAAGTAATTTTTCCTGATTCCAAGGGTGATGTGGAATGGAAAAATATTGAATATTCAAAAGAGATGTGGCTCGTTAGAGTTCTTCGGAAGAAGGGCTGGGAATGCCTTTTTACTTTTTTGTATACAAGATTTTCTCAAAAATGCCTCCAATTTTTTCTTTATGCTTATGGTAGGGATAGCGCTAAGTGCGCTCTATAAGATGACATAATCGCCATATTGCTCTGCTCTTTTCTTTTTTCAAAAATTACAAAAATGAGTTTTTTTACTTGTCTCTCACGTTGTTAATATTTACATTAGCGGCAATTTGTCCACATTATTGTATTTATAAATACATGTGCTTTAAATAATGTTAAATAAATTTTCTAGAAAACTGAACAGTTTTCTGTTAAAATGAGCTCAAAATTCCTCAGTTTCAGACATAAACTTAATTTCGAGTTATTCTTTAGTTTGTTTGTTTTTTTCAAAAATTACGCAAAACTGTTTTTTAATATCTGTCACACCGTTAATGTGCACATTTTGAGCCATTTGTAAACGTTTTTGCATTCTTAAATGACTTTGAATGAAGTTTTTCAAAAACTCAAACCATCTTTTGAGAAAATTCAAATTTCGCATTTACAGTAATGTTTAACGCAATTTTGTTAAAACGTGCTACAAATGTTTCAATGAAAATTGCCATTTATGACGAGATTTTACTCTTCTTAAATATTCTTACAGTAACATTTTGGTTCTATTAGGAAACCGAAAAATTGAGAAAATGTCCAAAAAATGTACTTTGGGTGGCGATAGATGGCAAGAGGATGGGGCAAGATCGTTAAGCCAGTCCACTCACAAGGATATTAGACTATACTTCAAGAAAGTCTGTGCCATTCTGTAGCATCACTAGTTCATTAATAGAGAGATGAAACCCAGAAAATTTGGTATGGCACGCGCACAATGGACTGTATACGCAGGACATCGAAGGGAAGGTGAACATCTGTCCCGTCTGTGGATGGCTATGACATGGTTACCTAAAAAACATCGAGGGACTGGTGCTGGCAAAGTCTCAAAGAACTCAGGCCATTCAAGCTAAAATGGATAAGAGTATCGAGGACGGTAAGTGGAGAGTGCAAATAACTGGGATCAGTCAATAACTTTATCAATGCCTGCAGCATGATTACACGGAGTACAAATAACACTGCAGCAGAGAGGCCGCCGCCTTTCACAGGAGTGTGTGGAGAAAATATTAGCTTGTTGACTTCTTCGTTTCTAATAAAAAAACAAAATACGTTTCGATTAAAGCTCAAGTTTATTGACGATATTTCTAAATAGTGTATTTATGATTGCTCGACAAAAAATATAAATAAAAATGTTAACATTTTTCAGCACTAGAAGAATTTTGAAAATAGATATTAAGTAACGGTCATTATGTTATCTTTAAGTCATAATTAACAAAATCATTCAGAAACACAAAAACTACTTTAAGTGTGATTATTTTGAAATAAGATAACAATCACTTTCATATGAATGAGTTCATATCATCACAAAATTGAGGCTTAGGAACAATTTACCAATCAATTTCCTTTCACTTGAATGAAACTCATAACTCGGAGGCGGATTGTAATGAAATGTCATTATTTTTCTTTTCACTTTAGAACAATGTCGCTTAGTATAGAAATTCATTTTATGTTGTGACGAAACGAAATTATCTATTTGAATACTTACTTTTTCTTGCATTTTTGTCGTGTTCGACTAGTGAGCCATTTTTTACCTTTTTACGTCCTTTTACTGAATTTTTGCTGATTTCATGGATTTTAATATCATTTTAATGGTACTTGCTTCAAACAATATTTACGAGGGGAAAATGTTCACCATAGAATTCCTGAGTAGAAAATTCGATTTCTTCTCTCATATATTGTAATGTCAGCCGTTGTGAGTACTATGTAGTCTAAGGTTACTGAAACGTTTATCGACGTCATTGTGAGTGTGGTCAATTTCGCGATAAATAAAGGCAGTGATTTTCTTTTAAATGCCAGTTCAAACCCAAGTTTGCAAGCTGAGGTCACTTGAACAAAAGAAAAAAGCTGCGATTACATAAGTATCATACCCAAAAGGATGGGTTTTTCTCTCTCCTCTCCTCTCTATCTTGCTCTCCTATCTCTCTTCTCTCCCTATCTCTCTCCTTCATCTCTCTCTCTCTCCTCTCTCTCTCTCTCTCTCATCTCTCTCTCTCTTTCTTTCTCGGCAATGAAATAAGCATTTGTGCAGGTTCGATCAATAGATCTATTTTCCTTAGAAAACTTTTATAGTGGACCTTGTAGGTTATTAAATACAAGCCCTAAATTTTTTTGTTGACATTAGTATGTTTCAGGGGAAGCTGAAAACGAGCCTTTGAATTGTTGGAAAGATTTTTGGGAGAGACAGAGTTTCTATGTACAAAAAATGTGTACTGATGTACGGAATGATTTGAAAGGATAATATAAACGGAAGTGCGTAAACGAATGTCTTGTTTCGTCATTACATGATACATATAAAGAAGATTATACATATACATAACAGCGTATAAGTTCTCTTCATTCAAAAAATGATAGACTGAAGTGTTCCAGAACATCAACTGGCGTCAACGCAGTGTCTCTGACCAGGAAGTCCTAGGGTCTGAGCCCCGTCGGGGACAGGATTTTCGACATTAGATAGCTAGGTCAAAGCTGTTGTTTGAAGAATTCTAGCGGAAGTCTGCTCTGATCGGTAATTTTCCATGGTTTCTCCGATAGACACCAGGCGAATGCCCGAGTAGTTCCCTAACAAGGGTCAAGGATCGTGCGCGAACTTTCCTTCCTCTTCCTTGTCCTGTCCTCATCCCTTATTTACACTCGTCTGCACTACACTACCACACATGTCAGGAGATCAGAAGGGAAGCTTAGAGCTGTCCCCACTGGTGCGAGACATCTGGATTGGCAAACCCAATAATGTGTAGGTCGGCGCCACATCTCGCAATCCAGCGGTAGAGGCACACCGCCACCTCCTGTAACAAAAACATACACTACACGTATGACCAATGACTATAGTCCCAAAAGACATAGCCCAACCTGGGCTATGTGATAGGCGTTTGTTTTCGTTAGTTGCCAAGGAACTAGGAGAAACATAACTTCGAGGCACCTAATCATGCGTTTGTGCTTGGTAGATCACGTTTTGACGCAAAGACACCCACTGTATTTTTACTTGATCGCACTTCCATCGTAAGAGGAAAAAATTCTGTAATCTGGCGGATTTTCGACACAAAATCCCTTATTGCCACGCCCAGGTAACGAAGAGTGGATGAATCATGTTCCATAAAGCCTAAATGTCTTCCTCTAAAACGTGTATAGTCATAATCCATGTCTTGAGCGTTCATGACACCGAAAAATCGGTTGATGACAAAAAGTCGGTCTGTGCGTCCCATCTATGGTCACAGCCAGGGTTGCCAGATGCTTCGTACAAACATCCACCCTTAGATGAATGTAAATACGCCCAACTCCGTCTGTTAAGAAAAATTCAACATTCCAAGCGGGAAATTTGAATTTGCATTAAAGTAATTATTAGTTTTTTGTTTTTGAGATAATGACCCTATGAAATGCTTGATTTGTTTTACTTTCGTTTGTGAGCATTGTAATTAATAATATTTATGTAAAAACTTACACTTTTGGAATAATGAGTTAATCTTAATATTCAAAAATTAGTTACAACCATTCTTCTGACTACAGCAGATGGGAGGACTACGTTAAGGAATAAAATAATTTCTCCTATTTCCACTGTCTTTACCCCTCTTAAATATCCGCAATTAGAAAGATTACTACAGAAATGCTTACATTCCCTATGGCTTATCGGAAAATGCTGACAGTGAAACCGTACTTCCAAAAGATGACTAATTTCAAATAGCGTGTTCTAGTATAAACTCCAAGTACTGACAATTTGATATATACTGATATCGTATTGTGCACGACAAAGACGGTATGACTTTTAGGACGCACCCTATACGAGAGGTCTAAATACATCACTCACTTTTCAACGTAAATTTGAACGAATTAACAAATGATGAATGAAAAATAATGTATAACGTAAAAAAACTAAAATTCAAACTCACCGTCAACGTCGTTCGGGTTGTTTTACGAAAATTTCATCATAATCTGTTAAAAATATGCTCAAACCCTTACATGGTTTTATATATTTCGGCACGTTTGGCGGTATTCCGCGAAATCAATTTTTTGTCCTGCGTGAGAGAGCCTTTTCCCAGCCCTAAAAACGAAATTTCGCCCAATCTGACAACCCTAGTCAAAGTTAGCGCCTAAATCGGTTTGATGCTCCTCGATCTATTTCACGAAAATCGAGAACCTCTGACTTTGAAACTTATTTTTAGATTTTTGGGAGTAATTTACATGAAACGTCTACATTTTCAATTTTTTTTCTTTCAAAATTCACCAAATTTTTTAACTAAATTTTGTTTTCGGATAGTGTACAAGACGCTTAAGTGAAAAGTGCAGGTCACATTTTCGTTGAAATACCTGCTTTTTCGAAAATTGTGGAAGTTTACGTTTTTTTCGGTTTCTTCATAACACTACATCATTAATGATAAGAGATTTTTTTCTTTAATAAAATTGTAGTAGAAAAAAATATTTTGAAATAAGGTTATGTACAATTTTTCGAAAATATGAATAGTTTTTGCATAATTTTGTGTGAAATATAGCCAATTTTTAAAAAATGTTAAAACTTTATTTTTTCTCTAAAACAGCTCAAATTTTCTTTAAATTTTATCATAGTTTGTACAAAGGGCAATAAAAAAAACTGAAGCTAGTCCCGTTTCTGGCGAACACTATTTTTCGATATTTGCATAAGTTGATATTTAAAAATTACACAGTTTGAGATAGAGATTTTTCCCTTCAACAAAATTTCTTCTCAAAAATAAGTACTTCAAGAAAGGTCATGAACGTTTTTTGAAAAACGAAACTTTTCATGTATTTTATTTGAAACTAATGCAATTTATAAAAAAATACATTTTCTCAAATATTGCTCCAGGTTTTTCTTCATTATTTTTCCATGGAGAGCATCATGAACCCTTAAAAAATGGCGTAAGTCTCATCTTTGTTGAACTAAATGACATTAACCATAATTATTTTCTTGAAACTCAAAGCATTTGAAATGAAAGCCAAAGTCCAAATGCTTTAGTTTCAAATGTATGTAGTAAATAAAGTAAATTACATCAAACTACAATTTCATGTTCAAGTTTGTATCCATTGGTTACCTTCAAATGAATACTTACTTTTTTGCCAATTAAGGAGATTAAAAAGACCACAGAAACAATTGAAAAAACAACAACAAAAGTTTCTGGTAACAAATGTTTAATGCTACATAAAAATATTCTGTATAAAATATGGGTAACATGGTCAAAATTCACAAAAAACAATATATGTATATTATTATGTAGATGCCCAAACAGAACCAACCATACTTGCTTTATTTTTCACTCTCATCAAATTACAATTTAATATTGTACTGAATGAAATAATTTATAAAATAACATGGCACATAAATATTTTCATATGTCCACAAGCAGAGAGCATAATGGTTACAACAGACAAGTATGTAAATTCTGAAAGAAATCTGTACAATTGATTCTATTTAACACTTTTTGCATTGGTAACAATACTTTGGTTCATACGCATGTCATATAAAAATTCACAATTCATAAAAAACATTTTGGTTACATAACAGATGTTTAATTAACTGATTTTTCAACAATACAAGATTGTCGGGCAGGAAATACTTTACATATCATTGATATTATTAATACATTCAATGATCGTAAATTCAATAACACGTAATACACATTCAATCTGAAAAGTTCCAAGTGCTTCTGGAACAGAGTTTGATAACGAGAAAGAGATGTTTTGCACTCTCTCAGACGTTCTTTGTACACAGATTCAATACAGCAACGCGACATAACACGAAAGGAGGTCATCCTGGAAAAAAAACAACACTTATTAGTTCTGTGTGTCTCTCCACAATCTCAAAATTCTGTGATACAAGGTAAAAGTTATTAAGTATATAGATCTTAGCTAAGAAATTAAGAATTTTTATCCTCCAACCAACCACACAATTGTAGATGTGCACTTAATAAAGAAAATATCTGTGATTTAAAAATATTTGAAAAAAATTAAAATGTGTAATTTGATCATTTCTTGGGAAGCCTTTCAGTAATAGTTTAAACTAGTCAAGGATCAAATTTTCAAATTTGTGTATCGCTGTTAGGACGTCGGCTTACGGGGGGGGGTCCCTCAACCAGGTGTCTTTCACCAGTGGGGTACCACCCCAGCCAGGAAGAGCTCTAAGCTCCCGTCCGGTCTTCTGGCAGTAAGGTAATGTAGTGCATGAAAGTGTGTGTTTTCTGTGTGTGTGTGTGTGTGTGTGTGTGTGTGTGTGTGTGTGTGTGTGTGTGTGTGTGTCTGCAAGGGGCTGAGAATAGGACAAGGAAGAAATGGGAAACATTACACGCGGGCCGCGGGCCGTTTGTTAGGGTACCGCTCCGGCACTTGCTTGCTACTGATAGGAGAACCCACGGAAAACTATCGATAAGAACAGCCGCCCGTTTGAATTCTCCTCCAGACAGCTTCTGAACTCGTCCTAGCTACCTAGCTAGTGTCGAAAATCTTGCCACCGTCGAGTCCCAAACCTAGGACCTCCCGATCAGAGGCACTGCAGTGACATCAGTTGGAACCCTGAGCTACCTTCCCAGTACATACTTCCCATATATACCAGTATGTACGTGGATTACAACAAATATGTTGATACATACATACACAAAACATATAATTCTATAATAAGAGTATATTGAACAATAATGTGCAAGGGTAGGTATTGAGTGAGTCGAGAAAAAAGGGAGAAAGGAACTAGGATATCCCGGAGAGAACGATGTCCGGAAGAGTCGGGTATCCCGAGGAGTCGGATATCCTGGGAAGTCGAATACCAAGGATTCATCTGAACTGGGAAAGTTCTCCGAAATCTTGAACGCACACGTACACGCACTATACCAGGGATTCTCAACCTATAAGGCACGTTCTCCTGGAAGGTTGGGAGAAGGGAGAAGTGGAGTGTTGGAAGGAGTGAGACATGAACAGACTTCAGTGGCTGCCGAGTCAGGGAAGCGCCAGGGCGATGTCCTTCCTTTCAACTTTTGTCTGTTTTCATTAGATCGGGACAAGCGTTTTTTAAGATGTCACTCAGGGTCGAATTCATAGTCGTCACTTATAGGCAGGGTTGCCACATATTAACATGATCCATGTAGGACAATAGGAAATGGATATATATATATATATATATATATATATATATATATATATATATATATATATATATATATATGGTAATTTAAGTTATTTATCTAATGACTACATTCAATGTCTGAACTTATATTTTTCATCACTCTTCACGCATTTTAATAATTTAATGTTTCGAACTTTCTCTTAAAATTGTACGCAATGTTCTTTAGAATTAACGCTTACAAGCAATTCCGCTTCGATTAACTCTACTGAACACTTATTTCTTTCATAGGTCCATTTTCTAATCATTATAGAAAATACTCGCTCTATAAATGATGATGATGCAGGCATACTTAGATTGTAAGACATAATTTTGAACCAGTTGTGTGTGTGTTTAGTGAAAAATTTCCTATTTTTCTTGTTACATGCATCAGTCATAATAGAAAAACACGAATCGTTCGTTTTTATTTTGGTAATCACGTCTTCTAATATTTTTGGTCCTAACACGATTTCAACAATTGCCTGTGCTTTTGTCCTTCCACAAGATATTTTGCAAGAGTTATTATCTTTTGGCAATACTTTAGGAACAAGTTTCATCAAACAATCTAACGATTATAGGACAGGTTATGTTTTACTGCATGATATATGTAAACTAGTTCAATTACAATAACTTGTAATTCTTCAGGAGTATCCTTTTTAATGAGGAATTTTTCCATCAATTGAGAACTACCCGTTGCTTTCATCTTCGAGCGATGATGTTCACTATTTTCACGCTGCTTGATGGCAGAGACACCTTTCAATTCAATAGAAAATGTGTTTAAACAGTATTTGCACAAGCTTTGAGAATCACTTTTTTAAGTCACGTATACGAGGGTGGTCCCTGAAGTACCCGACCCAACAAAGAAAAAACAAAAATTTTGGAAAAAAATATGTTTATTTTTCAACATAATCTCCTTTGAGCTCTGTACACTTTTCCCAGCGATGTTCAATAAGTTCGATACCCTTTTATTAAAGAACTGTTTTGCTCCTCAAATTAGCCTTTAACTACCGACATCGCTTCTTCATTGTTGGAAAATCTTTGACCACTGAGCCATTGTTTCAAGTTTGGGAACAGAAAATAATCAGAGGGGGCTAAATCTGGCGAATAGAGTGCATGAGGTAGCAATTCAAATTTTAATTCATTCATTTTGGCCATTGCAATAACGAATTTGTGAGCTGGTGCATTGTCCTGATGAAACAACACTTTCTTCTTAGCCAACTGTGGCCATTTTTGCTTGATTTCTTCGCACAAACGTTACAATAAGTTCGCATAATACTCGCCGTTGATAGTTTTTCCTTTTTCAAGATAGTCAATGAAAATTATCCCCCGCACATCCCAAAAAACCGACGCCGTGACCTTGCCTGTAAATGGAACGGTCTTCGTCTTCTTTGGTGCGCGTTTTCCCTTTTCAGTCCATTGTTTTGATTGTTGTTTTCTCTCTGGGGTGAAGTCGTGGAACCATGTTTCATCCATGGTTACGAAACGGCGTAAAAAGTCTGCTTTGTTGCGGTGAAACGTCACTAAACACACAATTGAAACATCTTCACGACACTGTTTTGGCTCGAGTGTGAGCAAACGCGGCACCCATCTTGCACACAGCTTTCTCATGTCTAAATTTTCAGATAAT